CAAATGAAAATGCTACATCCGGACCAGACACTTTCAGCTGCTCGTTTATAAAACAAAGAGAGGAAGAAAAAGCAGTTTTACTACAATATCTACTATAACATTACAAAATGCAAAAATTGCACTTTCAAACCAAAATTGTATACTCTTATTTAATCTCAAATAAAAAATGATTAATTAATTAAACCATTAAAATTAATTAAACTTAATGTGTTTTTAATTGACCACAAAAATTAGATTACATCACTGATACATTGTTGTAAAATATATAAAACCAAATTATCTGCAGCATTTTCTTACCATATTTTTTTCTTTGAAGAAAAATAATATAAAAAAACCTTTAATAAACTCTTCAAGAAGTCATATTACAATTGACATTACAATAGAACAGCAACAACAACCAACAACCGTCCATCAAACGATCATAAACGCCCTGCAGAACTTCTTGGCCAACGCTCTGGAACTCGCGCCATACCTGTTTTAAGAAGTAATGGTCATACAAGAGCTTATAAATTCAACAAATATGCGAAGCATGTTTTCTCTACATACAATAGTACATTCATGTTCACAGATGTATACATGGCTGGTGGGACAAGGCCATCAAATACATCCCATACCACAATGGATATGTTCATTATTGAACATTTTATAATCTAAGCTATAATTGTAATTTATGAATTTCTAATTCAGAGAGCAAAACACTCACTACTAACCAAATACATATATCTAAATATAAATAAAAATATAAACATTTTTACTTCTCACACCTAATCCACCACCCCCATCCCCATCATACCACCCACCACCAGCTAACAGCGCCCACCACCATTTTTCACACCCCCACCTCAACAACAACTTCCTACCAAACAAGCCTTAGCAACAGCAAACCCAAACAACACCAAGAAAACAACTTATTGCTTTCCACCATTTTTCGCATTTTTCTTACACGAATCGTACTGGCCCAGAAACCAGATCCTCTCTATATCCTCTCTAGTAATCTGATTAGATTAAATAACAATATGTTTGAAAGGTGACATTTAGTGTATAAAAACAGTGATTTTTTGATGTAAGGTTTTTTTCGTATGTAGTTGTTGTTGCTGAGGTTGTTTGGCTATTGTCGGGTTGTGGTAGTGGGGGTTCTATGGCTGGGGGTTAGGTGTGAGACCTGGGGGTTAGGTGTGAGACCTGGGGGTTAAGTGTGATCCTTAGGTATTGAGACTGAGAGTTAGGTTTAAACCTTTGGCACTAAGGATGGGATTGTTATGTAAGCAATGATAAAACATAATAAAAGTGGATGTCGATAATGTAATATTGATATGATTGTGGAGGGCTTTTTATAATTGAAGTCATAATTAGTAATAATTAAAATATATCTATATATAGGTACATATATATTATTGTTTGTAAAGTATTTTTAAAATAAACTTTTTTTATATTTTGATATATATATTTTTTATTTGTTAATAGAAAAATTTATAAAATTTGGTATATCTTCTTTCATTCTATGATAATTACAATAATTTACTTCATTATTAGAATTCACATTAGCTATATGCAATGCATCTAATTTTGGACAATTAAGATCATCTAAATTTATTATAAAAATATTTACGCTAATCAATTTTTATATCCCCTACATTTTTTCCAATTATGTGACTTAGATAGTTAAGTTCTGCTTATCATTTCAATGGATCACTTCAAACTATGATGGTTGTTATGTAACTAATTGACTGCAATCCTGTCTTTTAATGATATGGTTGCATATTCATATGGTGACCGTATTAAAAACGCTTTAATTTCCAAATAATTTTTTGAAATGCTCAATTCTTTCATTACAAACTTATTATTTATCAGAAACCTTGCGCATCTATAATTATTTCTTTATCCTCAACCATTCCTCTTCTAATGTCAACTGATAAGACCGATTTTGAAAATTGTTCGTCTTTTTCGTCTTGTATGTAGCATTAAATCACCCAATTCTATTTGTGTTTAATAAATAAAAAAAGTATATAAATTTTTTTTAATATTTTTTATTAAAATAATCATTACGAATCACATCTATTTTTGATAAATAACTTACTTAGGAGATTTTACAATATTTAATTATACGAACCAAATCCGTTTTAGATAATTCAGAATATATATACTTATATATATATATATATACTTATATATACTTATATATATACTTATAGATATATATATATAATATATACTTATTACGTCCTTTTCAAAGTTTAGAAACCGTAAGTGTTCTCGAAACACTCGAGAATTTATCAGTTAAGTTTTGTTCTTATACATTGCCTATGGCTGAATAATAATTAAATAATAAATAAAAATAATTAAGT